CGGATCCGCTCTGGTCTGCCTGCCGTGGATGGGATCCCTGGAGGCCCTAGGTGCCGCCGATTCGGTAGCTTCTAGCCGGTCGAAACGTCCGTGTTTTTTTTTTTTGGCTCGATTGGATCTGGCACCGTACCGTACCGTAGGACTGAATTTCGCGCTCCCTGTCCTACGCCAATCGATCCGGCCGGTGCTACCGCATTCATCATGATACATATATCCGCATGTGACCTTATGTGCGTGCTCGTTGGATCGGATGTTTAGGAATTCTGCGCGGATTGTTCACTGGATTTTGTTGTGCTTGTAACCTTATTTTCTTTATGTGATGTGATGCCATGATCGTGCTTACAGGATCTTGATCAGAAAAGTTAGATAAATATAGAACTGTAAAGTGCATGCAAAGTCTTCATTCATTCATAAATCTGTAATGGCACGCCACCTTATCTAGTGGACTGTTGTTTGCATTGCTTCATGGTAGCATGCTGTAAGGACTGCCCACTGAAGGCGTCTCACTTTACGTGAAAGATTCCCAGGTTTAGGTGATTGATACATAATCTCATAGGTTGCTTCACACTCAACTTGAATGCATGATGTGTAGCTCTGAGGATTCCTCGATTACATGATTCCGCCTTTAAGCTATGCAGGCAGAAGAAACATTCTATAGTAAAGCATGGGGTTGTTGATTAAACTGCTGCTGTGTTCAATGAAAAAAAAGTGTAGTTAATTCAGGTTGTTGTGTTTAAGACACATACATGCTTCACAGCACTTTGTTGAAACCAAATGGAAAACAATGGAATAGCCGAACAGGTCCTGTTTGACAGTTTTTTAAGGTTACTTAGGGATATATGTAACTGTTTTGGTTACTATTTTGTACTCTAGTTTCTGCTTTTCACTTTCAGTGAAGCAGCATTGATAATTTTATAATTTATTTATGCCTGAACACTATATTTGATAGAATGATAGTCAAGCAACCTAGTTGATAATTTTATGCAATGTGGCATTGTTTTTCCACTGTCAATCTGGTTTGCTATTCCCTAGTTCATTTATTTTTCCCTTACTTACGAAATCATGCTCGGCGATTTACAGGCAATCAATGCCAACTCGGTCTCATTCTCTGCTCCAAGGAAAGACAATGTATCCTTCCGTCTTCAGCCTGTTTCCCAGAGATTTTCTGTTCGCTGTGCTGTAAGTATCGTCCTTTTCTGGTATTGCAATCGTATCAATTAGTTATTGCACTTCAAAAAAAATTCCCTACCTATTTGATATGTCATTACTTTCATATATGCAGGCAACATCCTTTCTTTTGAATAATTAATCATGCATGCTATCTGAGGCTATTCATCTCAATCTATTTTATTCCAGTTTTATCATAAGTCAACAAACTACTACTGCATCATATAGAAAACCCTGTCGTGTTTCATCACAACAGTGCTTCCATTTTGTCTCTTGCTCTCTTACAAAAGTTATTTGGAGATAATTCCAGCAATGGAGGTTCCTTTTTGGCATCGTGCATTTTGCATGCTTGGCCTATAATTTGACCTAAGTAAGCGCCTCCTAGTCTACTTGTACCACATTGATTCAACCATAATTTAACCCTGTAATTCTGATTTAGTAGGCAGGTAAATTACCATGCAATGTTTCTGAAATCCTACTATCCATCATAGGTCTTTGTTGCTATGATTCTAACTGCTTCATATTGGTGTTGTAATTTAACAGGCCAAAAAGGAGACAGTAGAAAAGGTTTGTGATATTGTGAAGAGCCAGCTTGCGCTTGCTGATGACACTGTAGTTTCTGGCTCCTCTACGTTTGCTGATCTTGGTGCCGATTCCTTGGACACGGTAAGTCAGCTGGATACTGTAATGTGTGTCACATGTTCATCCTAGCAACAGACCTAGCTGGCTCCACCCACCCAGTGGATATGATCTTGTTAAGTTTGTAACAGTGCATCATTCATCTAAAAACCCCTTGAAGGACATTTGGCAGTAGTTTCTGTTTGTTATACAGCAACAACAAATAGTTTCTGTTTTTGAAGTATTTTGTGACTACGACTCACTAGTAAGTTGGAACCCAAGTCTGGGAATGTGTAGGTCTGTTCTCTTTTGGCAAAAGTTCCAGTGTCTGCGAGAACCATGTTGTTCCACTTTCTTCATTTTCATCCGTCGGAGCCCTTTTTGGCAGCAGTACTTTGTTACTGCAGTTTATGCTAACTTTTATCAACACTCTTTTGTGCATGGAAATAAGCACTCTGAAAGTGTAGTTTTCAGTTTGAGATTGCAGAGGTCCTAACTACTGAAACTTTGTGTGGCTCTGTTGTGTAGGTTGAGATTGTCATGGGCCTCGAGGAGGCTTTTGGAATCAGCGTGGAGGAGTCGAGCGCGCAGACCATCGCAACGGTGGAAGACGCCGCCAACCTCATTGACAGCCTTGTTGCAAACTAAACATATTTCCTGGCAATAATGTGCTACCCACTGCAACCGTTGCTGCTGGAGATGGATCCCATTTGACGTGCTAGATTTTACTGTGGAGAGTCGGTGACATCTGTATCAGTGTTTTTGCCTGTCTTGCGATATTACGACATTATTTATTAAGCGGTTGTTGAAGGAATTTTTTCTTGTTGAAGCTGTGTTGGAGACTGATTTCAGAGGGTCTGAACATGATGTGCTGGAAGTAACTACTCCCATCTTTTTTGGTTCAAATCTACACCTTGTGTTCTAGAGCAAACGATCGTTTATAATTTTCTTAGGTTGTTTTTGGTAAACTTTCAGTTTATGCTTTGCGATGTGAGAATTTCAGCATTTTGACCGCTGCAAGTACTATTATGTGTGGTGCTCACGCAAACTTTCCTGCTATTTCGTATTTCAATATGAACTATGTACGAAGTAAAATGATGAGTACTACTTTAAACTATATCTATATAATTCTGTATGTAGTCTGTAGTCCACATTAAAATCTCTAATAGGACAAAGGACTTGTATTTAGGAACGGAGGAGGGTATTTGCTTTCGGAAAGATTCTCGCCTCAGTTCCACTAGAACCAGGAGGCTAGGAAATTTGATATTCTGTGTTATGATGTTCCAGTGCATTTGGTTACCGTATGAATGTAGGATGGACGCGCATTCGAACCTAATCTCGTGGTTAACCTAGCAATGACTACAGTCATCGACTCATTATGGGTAATCTTTGGTCTACCCAGCCGTATTATCCACATACTACTAATCACAAGCAGCCTGGTTAGTGGTTATACTCTAGTGGTACTAGTAGTACAATCATCTGAGTGGTAGTAGTTTTAAATTCTACGTACTCGTTTGTGCGGCATCGTTCTAGGTAGTACAGGTATATGCTCCCCGACCCGATGAAGAAAAGGGTCATCATCGTGTCCGCCACGCGGACGGGACAAACGACGACGACGCACGAGCCTCAGGCGTGCGTCCCTAGCCTCTCCTCTCCTCTCCTCTCGGTGACACAAAACAAAACAAAAAAGATGCCGCCTGGATGCTCGATTAGCCGCGAGTGGTATATTATTTCGTCTCTGCAGATGCGATTAGCGAGCTAGTCATCACTGGATAAACACGCCTGCTAGCCATGTCTCTGTTGCCATGCCGGACTGTCACTGACGAGCAAAGTTTATTACTTACACATGACAGAGAATTTGCTGCACCGCGTCGAGCGGCAAAATTGACAAATTTGACCTATGGACGAAATCAAATCACATAATGAACTGCCCGTGAAACTATTTCACGCGGCTGACCTTTTTGTGTGACGCCAGACACGAAAGCGCCACACTACACTGTGCAACGCCTCACAAATAGGCGCTACATGCCTGATCAGCGTCGCATCTGTGTGATCCGAAAATTACTAAATCAGTGTGCAGCGCCTGAGAGTTAGGCGCCACACTATACAGTGTAGCGCCTGGCTTCTAGGCGTTGCACTAGTGGTTGCTTCATTTTGTAGTGCAACCACTAGTGCAGCGCCTGAGAGCTAGGCGCCACACTATACAGTGCAGCGCCTAGCTCTTAGGCTCTGCACACTGACTTAGCAATTTTTAGGCAGTCTGGGGTGCAACGCTGGCCAGGCGTGTAGCGCCTATCTGTGAGCGTTGCACAATGTAGTGTGACGCCTTTGTATCGGGCGTCACACAAAAAGGTCAGCCGTGTGAAAATAGTTTCACGGGCAGTTCACTCTGTGATTTGATTTCGTCCGCAGGTCAAATTGAGCAGTGCTATACGGACGATAAAACACAGACGATTCACGCACGACAGTGAAATCCAGCCACACATGCAGGTGTACAGGAGAGCAACGGCCGCTGGATACTTAGTCGTCTTCACATCGTGTACGCTTTTATCGTGTGTAGAGCAGTTTCGGGTCAAATTTATCAAATTTGCCGCGTCGAGCTGAGTGGCCCTGCAGACTGCGGGTGGGAGAAATGTAGTAGTAATGCTTTGCCGCTGCCATGGTCGGAGGGAGGGAATTTAATCCCCCGACAGCGCCTCGCACGGGCTGCGTGCTTTGCCCTGCTACCGGCGCGACAGGCACCCCTGCGGCCATCGATTGCTCTCACGAGCCCTTCCTTTTTACCGCCTGCCCTGGCCGCTAGCTCGCCTCTATACATATAGCTCCACCACCCCGGCGCAAAGGCGAGCAAAAGCCGGCCGAGCAGAGGCAGCTAGCGCAAGAAAGCGTCGTGCCGTGCGTGCCCAGAGCGCGAACCACCGGGGAGCAGAGAGAGAGAGGCGGCAGGGTTGATGGCGGAGGTGGAGAGGAAGGCCCCGCGGAGGGAGGAGGAGCTGGTGGAGGCGGCGCTGGCGGCGGCCGCGGCCGCGCTGTTCGTGTCCGGGGTCAAGAGCCTGGCGCCGGCCGTGCTCGTCGACCGCTGGTGGTGGCCCCTGCCCGCGCAGGTGCTCGCCGCGGCGCCGTCGCCCGTCCTGTTCCTCCTCCTCAACGTCCTCGTCGCCTGCATCGTCGTCGTCTCCGTGCAGCCGGCCAAGCGACCAGCCGCGGCGGCGGCGACGGGCGCCGTCGCCGCGGAGGTGGCGCCGCCGGGAGACGGTGCGGCGAAGAAGCTGAAGAAGAGGCGGAGCAGCAAGAGGCGCGGGGACGGCGCCGAACCGGCGGCTCTCGCGCCGCCCTACGTCGCCGCCGACCGCTGCATGGCGCTGGTGGTTGACCGCGGTGTCGTGATGGCGCCGACGGGCGGAGAGGAAGAAGAGGAAGGAGCCGCCGGCGACGCGGCGGAGGTGGACAGGCGCGCGGAGGAGTTCATCTCGGCGTTCCGGCACCGCCTCAGGGTCGACTCCTTCTCGTCTCGCCGCGGGGAAGCCGGCGACGCGGCGGCGCGAGCCATCAGCGGCACTGCGCCGTGCTTTTGACCCGAGCCTGCATGCACCTCGCGCGCTCGCGGACCCTGTTTTGTTCAAATCGCAGTCAGTTTTTTTCGCTTTCTTGATCTGTAGCTACTACTGGTACTTTGACATCAACTGGTTGGATGAATCTTCAAGCATGCTTGCTTGGTCGTGTGAAGAAATACGAGTTAATTGCATGTTGGTACCACACTTACGCACCTACTCACGAACCGCTACTCATGCATGTCGCAGTTCAGTACCAACTCATGGCCTAAGTGGTGCATAACGGGCTAAGGAGCGTATAACAGTGTATTGATGCTGTATCTGACCGGCGGGACCCCCTGTCAGGTGCTGATGTGTCATGCTCTTTTGCAAAAAAGACCTTTAGTTTATATTTAATCGCGTATATACCCCTTGTTTGGCAGAAAAAGGTCCTACCAAAAATCAAACATTCGCGGGAACCAACTGCGACTCGAACCCGTGACCAGCCACACGCGTCTAGCGCTCGCTACCGCTGCGCTACAGCACTGATCATTTTAATTATCACGCGCAAAGATTTGTATATTTGCCGTTCTGTTTTTCTTTAAAATAATAAAAATATTAGTTTGACCGCGCGATCCTGCAGGGATTAGAACACGCGCCGTTACGTTCGCACAGCGAGCTCGCTGCCGATGCGCCACTGCATCGTTCACGGCTTTACTGTTCGAGCCGTCCTGTTTTCCGAATTTCTTTATCTTTTTTCCAATCGTGTGTATTCTTCGGGCCCTACGCTCTGTGTGTGCCGTATATTGAAAAAAGATATACACATACATACAACCTTTATTAAAAATGGTTCAATATATATAGGGTGAACGTTTTTATAATACGAAACAAGTTCATCGTATGTAAAAAAAATGTTCATCTTATATTTGTTGTAATTTTTAATGCACAGTTACTCGAAAAATTGATAACATGTATTAAAAATTATTGTGTTATCGTAATAAATTTTATAATACATGATGAACATTTTAGAAAAGACATTTACAACTATTAAATACACGTTCAACTTTTCCCAAAAATGTTCTGAACTTTTTTTCAAAATGCACAAACACTTTATTTACCTTTCAGAGTAATTATAAATTTTTTGAACGTCAACCCAAAAACAAAGCGGAGACCAGCAGGTCTATTATTCAGAGCTTGTGTATTCTTCAGACCGAAATCAGTGTGCGCAACGTATATTGAAAAAATTCCCCGCAAAAAAATGTATACTGAAAAAAATTACACACACATATATATAGATATCATATATTATAAAATGTTCAACATATAAACGATAAACTTTCTGTAATACGAAATCGTATATTTAAATAAGATCATTGTATATTAATAAATGTTTAATATATATATATTAAAAGATGTGGTGAACATTTTTTAATATACGCTACGCTTTTATAAGATGAACTTTTAATATATGATGCAATGAACATATTTTTAATCATACAACGCGATGAACATTTTTTAATGTCAGATAATATTTTATATCGTATAAAAATCAAAACTGTTCGGAGTTTAAAGACGTACTAGTAAGCGTGCACGTGCAACGCACGTATAATCATAGAAACAAATTTGTTTAGTTATCCTAGTTAGGAAACAATTATTTCAAATCTTAATTTGTATGAAACTATGCTTTTGCAGATATAGTTTTGAAATGGACTAAACAAGAACAAGTTACATACAATAGTATGTTAGTCAATTTTGTCCTAGAGATTGACACTTAAGTAACACACATAGACAACATTTTGGTCATCAACTCTGGATCCATATACAACAAAATGTGAAAGTAAGTTAGACTTTGAGCATATTTCATTTATTATCATAGCTCTGTCCTTTAAGGAAACGACAAACCATGTATTTAACTTTCGTATTCAACCATTATTTCTCCTTATATCTTAAGTCTAATCATATCGATGCTATGCACCTTCACTGTAAACCACTAAATCAGAAACCGTATAAGCATTAATAAATGGGGCACACAATTAACCTCACAAAGATGCATCACCATGTATCACAATCTATAGATACAACTTGTGCTACCATGACTTTATGTAACCACATCAATCTTTTGATACATAGTAAGTGTGCACGTGCAACACACGTATCATATCTATAATTAAAACATTTTAAGTCTTAATCTTAATCCAAGACGAACAACAGACATAGTCCAAGAACATTCCAAGTTTTCAAGTCTTGATTTCTTATATCATCATCATTGAATTCCAAGTTAAGTAAAATGACGACTATTTTTTTCTAAAACGTGTCATGTGAATATAAAGTCAAGTAGTGATAAGACTTTTTTGAAATACTGACACACCACAAAATAATAAGTATCATATTATGAAGCAAAATATACCTGTTCCGGATTGTCGGAAACAATATCTCTCATTAAGTACTCCATGAAATTTAACATCTAGAGACCACAAGATGACCTGCATGATTACAACTTTTTAATATGTTCAATAACAAATATCAATAAAGATCTCAATAGCTATCAAAATGATTATGACTGGACATTTTTCTAAATCCTTGTGACATATAAAAACATAGCACCCACACAGTCAAATCGGACACGCCCAATATATTTTTGGACAACATCCGATGCTAATATAAAGCAAATGACCAAAAGGGCTATTGATAAAGAAAATGACTTGTCGTCTAAGAAAAACTGACTTGGACAACGTCTATATTTTCTTAGAGGAACACCTATGCTTATTAGTACTTGATCAAAAAAGTTTAGACCAAAAAAGAAAAAAGAAAGAAAAAGAAGAGACATGCAGATGCTTATCCCTTCACTCTCTCCCCACCACTCCCCATTCCATGGTGGCCTCCGCCTGTTCTCCCCGCTGCCTGCTCTCCTCCGCATGCCGCGCCGTCGCACGACGCCTCCTCCCTGTTGCCACGATGTCGCCCAGCGCCTCCTCCTCCACCCCTCTGCCTCGCCCCGCCGCCTCCTCGCCGCACGACGGCCTCGCCTCGCCAACAACCCCGCCGGTCTTACCTAGATAAACTCTGCCGCTGCCATCCCCATGTCCCAGCGCAGATCTAGACGGGAGCTAGAGGGGCATGCTGGACACGATGCGGGAGCGGGCATATCATAGCGGACCGAGATCCAGTGCGTCTACGTGCTCGCCGTCATCGTTGCCCCCCGTGCTTGGCTCCCACACTCGCTCCAGGTAGGTGCTCGCAGCTCGCCTACTGCTCGGCTGCTCCAGGTACTTGACGGACTCAGGTAGTCGTAATTGGATGTCAGCTTCTTAATCAGTACTCATAGTTTTTGTGTACCTATCATTTGTCAATTGAAGTGGAAATGAAATTCTAGTCTTATTTTACTAAATTGCGAGATTCAGGATCTGGTTGATATTTTGAGAGTTTTTACCATTTAGGTTTTTGGTAACGCACATCAGGAATGCACACTTTAATTTATTTTAAGTGTGTACCTATCATTTGTTGTGTTTTAACATATCTTGCCACTACTCTGTAGTTAAAGCACAACGTGAGGCTGCAGCAGAAGCTTGAGGAATGCAGGGGCTAATAATAGTACTCATCAACCAAAAATACCGGCGTCGTCAACCATGCTTTGAACTTTTGGAGATCAAGCTGTACGGTTGTACCATGAAGATTTTTGGTAAATACCTCAACTCTCATGAGATGATTAGCTTAGAAAATCGAGATATTTTCTCATTAATTTCAGCTCTTCTGATGAGGCACATAGTTTTGTGCTTGGGGTGCTCAGAAAGAATAGGATGTTTTCTTTTTTATACATCTCGTGGCTTATACTTGTGTCAGAACAGAAAGGAAAAAAGAATACTTGGTCTTTACATGGAAACGACGCTCCTATGGTTATTGTGATCTCAAATTTTGCAGAATTTCTTCTAATGTTTTATTTACTCTTTTACTGGCTTCCCCGTCTTTATTTGTGACGCTTAGTTGCTCACCCTGGCATGCTCTGTTACCCAAGATGCAGTTTAAGGATTCAAGTGGCGATTGCAACCCAAAACATTGCAAAGAATCTGCTACCAGAGGCTTCATTATGCACACCTTTTCTTTTTACAAAATGGAGTCTGATCTGCTGTCATCACATCACCAGGTATGCCTACAGCACCAATGTTTGTACAGTGACATTTATTCACACACAAATGAAGATATTCTAAGGTTAGAACGAACATCACCTTCAACACCTGGTGTGTATCGTAGTTGGGTGACAGCAGATTGCGCAGTGGGCCTCTCGGCGGTGTGAAAATCCGGCAGAAGAAATCACTTGATCATATATTTGATTATACTTCTGATTGCTCAATCATATATAAAGAACAAAATATAATGGACAAACCAGGTGATAATGATATTGCCGCGTGTGTCCTAGATGGGGTGTGTTCTGCATTAAGAATAGTAGATGTAGCTTTCTTAAGAGCCATGTTTAGTGCATACCTCTCCCTTTCCCTTTGTCTCTTCAACTCTTTAGGACCTGCCATTTGGCCTGCGTGACAAAATCTTTACATAGGCTCGAGTTGGTGATATATTTAAGTTACTTACCTGAGTTGGTGATGTTGAATAGGTCCTCAAATTGGGTCCCTAAGTCGTCACGCTGAGTCGTAATTATTGAAATTTTCCTTGTTACAAAATGTCCGGTTTGATTTGAAGGAATTTGGATCATGAAATGGAGCCTGATCGGACATCATCACATCAGCATTTATGCCTGTACCACCAATGTCAGTACAGTAACATTTTTTTACACACAAATGGAGTTCCAAATTTGTTAGGCTGAGAGGATGCCATATGCAACTGTCTCAATCAGGATCTTAGTGTTCCCAATCATGGTTGTTGTACATGAAAGATTTACTTGAGCCATAAACAGGATGGTTGCAGGAGAAAAATAAGTACAATGATTTGGTGTTTTCAATGCTTTGAGCTGAAAAACAGTTCAGATACCTGAATTGCTGATGGTCCTGAAGTCGTTACGCCGAGAGGATGCCATATGCAACTGTCACAATCAGGATCTTAGTGTTCCCAATCATGGTTGTTGTGCTTGAAAGATTTAGTCATGAGCCATAAATAGGATGGTTGTAGGAGAAAAAGATGTACAATGATTTGGTGCTTTCAATGTTTTGAGCTGAAAAACAGTTCAGATTATATGCTTCCAGCCGTGAAACTGCTTATCGCATTAGTCTTTTTCATTGTATTTTAGCGCTTCCGGTGATTCCTTCTCTGTCATCATTGTGCTTTTCAGGTTTGATTCCTTTTGTGACACATTAAGTGGCCTCACAGGTTGGTTGCACGTTTCCCTCTATTATGTAAGTAGTAACCCATAGTGCCGCTTTTTTCCTTGGTGCTAATAGAAACAAATTCTCAAACATAGTACACAAGAAATATTCAATGGCAGGAACACCAGTACGATATTATGCATATATAATCATGAACATACTACAATATTTGTTTCCTCAGGTTCTGTGCCCAGTTCAATCACCGCTCCACACAGTAGGGTTAACCGAAGATTCTCTTAGGTTCTGGGCCTCTGGACTGTACAAAAACACCATGAGAAAACAAAACACCATGAGAAAACTCTGTTAGAGCCAGCACACCTGTAGACTGTGAACCCAAGTAGCAGAACATGACAATTTTTTGTGAAATCGGTCACTCCATCTAACCACACTGATTAATGTGTTTATCCAAGAATAGTATTCAGTAGAATAGCAGACAAGAATGGTAAATCTCGACAGATAGGAGAGAAATTGTGCAGTAAGGCAGCAAAGCGAAGCTGGGACTGAACCTGGAGACCATATCGGATGACGCCGATCTGCTCAACACCCTTGAACGGCTCCGGGAGCAGCGGGAACAGGTTTCGCCCTCGTGCCACCAGGTTTTGCCGTCCTGTTGCTGGTTGGCGAGCCGATACTTCCCGTCGGCCTTGTTGGTATCGGAAACGCTGGAGAAGAGCTACGCCGCAGGCATGAAGTCCTTCCCGGTGACCAGGTATCCGTCGGGGACTCGAACGTCCACCATACGACCGTGTCGTCAGCGTGGAACAACACAAAGTTGTCGTCATCTCGTAGGGCGCCCGCAACTCAGGCAGATCTGATTGGGCGACCAGGTGGGTTTCCATTGGCCGTGGAAATCATACCTGGCCGATCTGATGGGGCTGTCTGCTGCTTCAAAACTCAGGCAAATTGATGCATAATAATCTTGTTGTAGCCTGACAAATATGTGAATATCTGATTGTAGTTGAAAGGAGGGGCGGCCACCCACTCGACGGTGCGGTGCAGGGTGGCAAGGGAGCCGGCAGGGAGGCGTCAACGCGGTGCATGGCCGTGAGGGAACCGTCTAGGGAGGCGACGATGCGATGCAGGGATCGAGGCCGCCGTGCAGGGAGGCGACGGGGCTGCTGAGCTTCGTCTGGGGCGGTGGCGAGGAAAGGCAGGGAGAGGGGCGAGGGAGACGATTAGGTTTAGTTTCCTTTTATTCAAATTGATTAGATGGTTAGATTAGCGTGATTTGAGGGCCTGCGGAGGTGGGATGGAGAGTTTCATGTTTTCATCTGGTGGAGTATGGTCGGTCCATGTAAACTGCTAAGCGCATACCAGATCTCGAATAAATTAATAATGGCTGTTAGATTGGGTCGTGTGGGCTTCATCCTGTGGTGGTGATGTGTCTGTGTACGTTTTGCAGGGTGTACGTAAGAAAGTTCTTGTTTGATTGTTTAATAGTAGTAGAGATACGAACGAGTTGACGCATAGGATGCCGTGGGGCAGAGGCAGCAAGCGCGCGCTGCGAACGACTCGGCGCAGATCGATTTACGGCGGACGGGCGCGCGTTACTTCGTAAAAACCGAAAGTCGCAAGGTATAAAAGAATTTAGGCGTCCCTGTTGAAGTAATCTCTACTCCTAATGGAGCAGTTGGTAGTCTCGCTTTCAGGTTTTTTTTCGTCCCACCACTTTCGTCCGGTTTTTTCCGTAGGTTAACCGTCGTAGATTTTTTTCGACGATGGTTTCTTATTCATCGGTTTATTTACCCCTCAGCTCTTTCCTTGCAAATCAGGACTTTTCAAACGTGCACACAATCCCGGATCTAAATTTACTAACTTATCCAAATCAACCGATACCTTCCATTATTACAAATTTCTTTAGGAAACAAATAATAGATTTTAAGGAAACAAATAAAAGATTTTAAAGACACATCATACTTTACTAATAATCACTAAAAATCAAATCTAAATTAATTAACCTTACCTTAAATCACTCAATCACTTTAATTAGAAAACATTTTCTTTCCTAACTGCATCTCGCTTAGTGTACACATAACAATCCGAAGTAATTAGAGTCACATGATTGAATCCATTTATTTAGAGCGACATGATTGCGTTCCGGGATGGAGGCCATGATTTCGTCGAGGTCGTTGCTGCCTCCTACACTCAGGGTGTGTCGCCGAGATCGAGCCGAGCATGAGGAGCTGTGGCCACCGCCATGGTCACCTCATCGCAGGGGATGGAGCACGCCATCGGCCTACAGCTTGTGGAGATCAGCATTTTCCAAACGTGCACGCAATCACGGATTTAAATTTACTAACTTATCCAAATCAACCGATATCTTCCATTATTGCAAATTTCTTTAGGAAACAAATAATATATTTTAAGGAAAAAAATAAAAGATTTTAAAGACGCATCGTACTTTATTAACAATCACTAAAAATCAAATCTAAATTAATTAACCTTACCTTAAATCACTCATTCACTTTAATTAGAGAACATTTTCTTTCCTAACTGCACCCCGCTTAGTGTGCACATAACAATCCGAAGTAATTAGAGTCACATGATTGAATCCATTTATTTAGAGCGACATGATTGCGTTCCGGGATGGAGGCTATGATTTCGTTGAGGTCGTTGCTGCCTCCTACACTCAGGGTGTGTCGCCAAGATCGAGGCGAGCATGAGGAGCTGTGGCCACCGCCATGGTCACCCCATCGCAGGGGATGGAGCACGCCGTCGGCCTATAGCTTGTGGAGATCACTGTTGCTCTTTAGGTCGCGTGGTGACCGGATCTTGCCGATGTGTCCCTCCCCGACGACCTGCTCTTCGCCCGGTTGGCCGGCATGGATCTCGCCACTACTGCCCTCAACTTCTCTGCCTCGAGCTCGACGGTCAGCCACCATGGATCCCCCAGCTGGAGGGTCACGTGAACCAGCCGTCCTCCCATGCTGCAGCGGCGAGAAGGTGACATGGCTCTCCGTACACGAAGAGTGGAGTGTGGAGTTCGGTCAAGTACTTATATACTTGGCCTCTACTGCTGATCCATGTACATGGAGAAGAACAGACAACCGCTCATTCATGCTTCGTTCCACTCCTTTGCGGTACATTACTGGAGGTGACATTTTCCTATCTCTCTATGTTGTAACAAGCCTGTTGCCTGCATAGTTAATGGATTTTTTATTTAAATTTATCGCTGCTTAGTGCTTTGTTGCAATTGTTCACGCAAGATTCTTATATATAATCTGAGCGTATGTAGGCATACTTAGCTTTGCTATTCCATTTTTTTTGGCGCATAGAAATAAAAGTATTGTCCAGATTAGGTATTCAATTGAGTATGGTATTTGGATTGCTATCAGAATGTCTTTTTTATGCATGTGATTTCTCACATCTGGTTATAATATTTGTGAAGACATGCATTGCACGTGCACTTGGAAGCGGGCCCGTGGCCCGCGCTGGACGGCGCCGACGCCGACCTGAGCCACCTCGTCCGCGTATTCTTGGAGCTGTGGCTGGTCGATTTACATGAAATTAATTCCCTCAGTTCTGGTGGCAAATATAATACACATAATCCATATTGTTATGCACTAGCGTGTATGTGTGAAATAGATGGATTATGGTCCCGTACCCAATAAGATGGATATGTATGTGTGTTAGAGAGAGAGGGAGAGGGGGATAGAGAGTGAGGAAGACGGAGGGAGAGTGTGTGTCTGTGTGTGTGAGGATTTGATGGTAAAAAAGGTCGCCAATGTCGTGATATTGAACTCCTAAAGTTAATGTGGCCCCGTTGCAACGCACGGGCGTTCTTCTAGTGGTACCAGTAGCGCAGCGGCAGCGGGCTAATGCTTCCAACGGCACATTGCGGGTTCAGAACCCGGCAGCATGCGCGTGTGGTTAATTTTTGAATTTCTTTTTTGCAGCAAGATTTTTTTAACAAACAAAGGATATATGCATGATTAAATAAAAAGTAAAGGTTCTTTTTGTAAAAGAGCATGCCACATCAGCCCCCGACAGCGGGGCCCAGCAGTCAGATACAGCGTCAATACGCGTTTATACGCAGCTTAGACTATTTTGCAAAACTTAGGCTCTGAGTTGGTACTGAACTGCGATATGCACGAGTAGCGGTATTGATTCATGAGTAGGTGCGTAAGTGTGGTACCAACATGCAATTAACTCAAAAAATACACATGAGAATCTGCAGACTCTAGGATAACAGTACGAGTCATGAGTCATGACATGGCACGACAAGAATGTGTGTGCACATTCCAATAAAATGCTACTCATGTGCACTGAAACATATATTCTGGGAGGCATCGTAGCAGTATTTGAAATCCATTTGAACACAATCAAAAGTCACACAAAAAGTTGGAAAGTTTCTCTGCAGTATCCTCTGAAATCCAAGTGATTACTTGTTTTTTCCTTTTCAAGAGAGAAATGCTCAGCGGGTTTTTTTATTTTAACGAAAAGAGACATCAAAAGGGCCACAGCCCAGAAAGCCCGCTACATCTCCAAGGCCCAGAGTTTCGGGCCCGGGAGCCCCAACGGCCCCGGTTCTAGAGCCTTCCTCTCTGCGACGCCGGAAATAAAAGGCGCCTCCCTTCCATTCCACCCCACCACCACCCCCACTCGCCTCCGCTCCTAGGGTTTCCCGCCGCGCACCACCACCAAAACCCTCGCTCCCCACCTCCCCGGCGATCGGACCAATGGCGGCGGACGCGGCATCGGCGGCGGTGAAGAAGCTCACGCTCAAGAGCTCCGACGGCGAGGACTTCGAGGTGGAGGTGGCGGTGGCGATGGCGTCGCAGACCATCAAGCACATGGTGGAGGACGGCTGCGCCGACAACATCATCCCGCTCCCCAACGTCACCGCCAAGATCCTCTCCAAGGTCATTGAGTACTGCACGCAGCACGCCCCGAAGGCAGATGACGCCGCCGCCGCCGACTCCGCCACCGCCGTCAAGCCCGACGAGGAGAAGCTCAAGGCCTACGACGTCGAGTTCGTCAAGGTCGAGCAGGCGACTCTCTTCGACCTCATCCTGGTGAGCGAGACTTCCGATCCCCTCTCCCCTTCTGGCGCTCCTCCTTGTATGTACTCGTAGAGGGCTTGCGTTCCGGCTGTTTAGATGCGATTGCGATGTGGTTTTGAGCGGTTGGTGCCCGGATTCGCGGTTCGATTGTGGACACCAAGTCTTGGTTCTAGGGTTTAGGGTTTTGTGTCTTTGTTGGGTTACGAAATGGGATGCATTGCAGGTGCTGTTCATCCGTTATGATTGGAGATTTGAAGTGTATAGTTTTTTCCAAGAAAAAAGGGGGATTATTGCCGTACTGTATATTTTTAGGTTTTCCGTTAAGGGTATTTGTCGTATGTATGCAATCTATTGGATGGAACAACTGTTATGTGATGAGCGATTTGATGATAAGTGTCTGATGTTTGTAGATTTAGTCCCTGTTTAATACTAGCATTTAGGTGTCTGATGTTTTGATTTAACACTGCAATTCTGGTATTATGTATCTTTAGCATGATCTGTTTCAGATAATAAATGATGCCTGATATGAAATTCTGTGTAAGTGAAGGCATCTATGTTGTTGCAGCCAGCTGTTTTCTGTTTCCTCATTTGGATTACTCGGTTATTTTGTTTATTGCTTGGAAACAGTACTGTGAGAAAAAAAAATGATTATCTGCATTGCATTGTTAAATGTTGTACTAGGAATCAGTCACCTGACTTGCATTGCACTGTTAGGTAGGTTGGTAGGACCTAATGCTTTGTGGTGGTCTGCAAGCCAGTAATAAGATATTAGTATGGTCCTAGTTGTTGCTTTGTGATGACCTTTTCGGGCGTTAGTGGCAACACTATTCAATGCTTGTTGCATGATCTGACAAGAGTGCTACTAGAATCTGTCTGTTAAACTATTCAATATCTGACCTTCATCAGGCTGTAAAGCATGTGATGTTTATTTGTTGCTTTGTGGTGTTCTTTCTTGGGGATTAGTACCTTTGTAAGCCTTGTACATGGACACATTAGAATGCTACTGTTGCTGATTCATACGTTGTTTAGCTTTGTAGTATGTGTATCCCATGGTTTCATATGCACTTCTGTATATAATATTACCTCTGTCCCAAATTAGTTGTCTAACCAATTTGGCAGGAGGGAGCATAATATGTCTTCCTTTACTGCTCAACAGTTGGTAGGTTTGTTGTAAATAGTTGTTCTGGGTTATGCACCTTGCTGAATTTTAATTCGTGCGTGCTGTATTTGTATCCAACTGTGTAAATTTGTAGTAATATACTATGTCAGTTGTGGTCTTGTCTCTAGTAGCACAACCTTCAGACATGGTGTATAAATTCAGTCAAAAAGTCATTTCTTTCTAAGTTTGACCAAATATATAGAAGAAAATATCAAACAACTATAGTATCGAATAAACAGAGTATGAAAATATATCTAATGGTTGATATATTTTGGGGACAGAGTATCTAATGGTGGATATATCAACAACTCTGTCCCCAAAATATATCTAATGGTTGATATTGGTTTGACATTATTTATGTTCATATTTTTGTACATAATATGCCATCTATTTTGGGGACAGAGTATTGCTACTTTCTTTCTTTAGCATGAAGTTTGCTTACATGATTTATTGCGACTGTCCTGCTTAAATATGAACTGCAAGTTCTTTCATTATGTGCATGTTGCCATAATCTGCTGTATATGCTCCTGTTCTTTATCTGTTTGGTAGGCTGTTGTAAATAGTTGTTTTGTGTTATCCACCTTGCTTAATTATATTTCTTCCATGTATTGGTTTCCGTGTGTGTAAGCATAGAGTATTTTGGCAGTTGTGTTTGTCCTTGGTACCATCATGGACAACTTAACCTTGGTAGATTAAATAGGAGTTTTTGCTCCCTCACCTATATTGCAACCGTATTTCTTAATTGTGAACGCTTGCTTTGCTCGCCATGATATGAACTGAAGCTCTGTCTTTAAATATGATATTGCTTAAGTTTGAACTGAAGCTGTTTCCTGTAGATGATTAACTGGCCTACTGTATCTGATGCCCCTGTTCTTATATCTGTTTAATGTGATGCCTGACCTTGATTGCTTTTATTTGCCTGGACAGGCTGCGAACTACCTGGACATTAAGGGGCTCCTGGACCTGACCTGCCAGACCGTCGCCGACATGATCAAGGGCAAGACTCCGGAGGAGATCCGCAAGACCTTCAACATCACCAACGACTTCACCCCGGAGGAGGAGGAGGAAGTGCGGAGGGAGAACCAGTGGGCCTTTGAGTGAAGGTCCGAGTCCGTGACACGAATAACCAGCATGGAAGGAAACGTGGCTTCGTCGAATGCCTGGGAGCAGCGTTAACCGTTTTTGTGGTTCTGAGACAACGATCGTAGGGAAGATGTAAGTAGGTTCTGGTTCCGGTAGACCTGGAGGGTCCTCACCATTTGGCTGACTCCGCTTCGCTTTTTGGTTGTGGTGGTATTTTGCTGCACTCTTGGACCTGGTTATGAGGAAATGAGATGGTATGCTGGTTATTCTGCACTAAAATTCTACGGAGTAGGTGTGTTGTTATGCCTGTGATGCTCTGAGATCCGTTTTGCTATCTTGCATTTGCTTTGGGTTGTGAACTACTCCTGCTTTGCCATTGTGGTTTCTTGCTAGGTTGGTGAACTCCTGCTTTTTGGTGGGTTTTTCGGGGTGGTTTTGCCATGTTGATTCTTTCCAGTGTTGGTATCTTGTGCAGTCTCTAGTTTCTTCTGTATACGTCTTTTCAGGCTCTTGTTTTCGGCGGTGGCTGATTTGTTTAGTCACTTTTATGGTAGAGTTCTAGACCGGCTGGCCGTGCAACCGTGAGCTTTGTGCCGTTTTTGGCCTTTGCTACACTTGTAGGGTGCTTTCCAACTCTAATCAAATCTTAGATTTTTTTAAGAAAGCGATACTACCTTCGGGGCTTAAATAGACAAGCAAGGAATCATAGGACAAGATTTTGTCTTCTCTTGTTGCCTGTTACTGTCTTCTGGATTTTAGCCTGTTAACCACAAAGGCTAGAAGAAGAAAAACACAATGGCCTTCTTGTGGCAGGCAGGTTTGGTCAGTCCACAAGTTAATGGAAGCAGAAGACAGTAACTTAAGGGTATACTTATCTATACCTAATAAGTCTAATAACTAGCAAGTGTGTTGTAACGGGAAGAAAAAGGTTAGTGCGTTGTCATGGGAGAACACTCGCGTATGTGATGCTCAAGATTCGTCTGAACGGAAAACTAAATTTACTCAAAAAAACTAAAAGCCATTTGTTAAAGTATAATACATGCACAATATGTGCATTTTTGTACATAAAGAGATACCTAGTTGAATGCCCATGCATTGCGAATCAACTAATTGCAACTTTCTCATTTCCCAATTAAACCGGCACTTTGACCATATATAAAGAGAAACAAACAAATAGAGAAAACAACCATAGCACAACACGGTTTCACATGGCATAAAATTTTACCCTTTTTTAGGGATAATTAAAATTTTACCATTTTCTAGAATCAATTAAAATTTTGCCCAACAAATATAGACATTTCCACATCCTTCCCATCAGGCCAAAGGCCCATTTGGCCGACACAAAAGCCCACCCGGCTATTTTGAAGCATGAACAAACGGACAAGACGTGGTTTACATAAGAATTCAGGTTGTCTAAACAAAGCCGTAAGGATTCAGATTTGTATATAGGACGGTCGTTAGACTGCAATCGCAGTGCCGTTGGCAGCAGAGGTCGTCGATGCGGAAGATGTTCATGGCCGCACACC